CTTCCTCTCTGTAAAAAAATCAATAATAAATATTTTTAAAAGACGGAAACCTATGTATGATCCTGGTTAACGGCCTCTAAAGAATCCAGAATCCAGAAATTTATAAGATAAATCCAGATTTATCTTATACCTCCTTATTTTAGTTTTGCTTTTTCCTATTCTCCATAACTAAGCGCTATCTACAATCTGGCATCAAAACCTTAAAGCATTAAGGGAATCACAAATTCTATAAATGTGTAGCAACTTTTGGAGAGAAGGACGCTTATAACCTAATGGTTATTTCTGCTGAGCCTTAGTTGTCTTATAGCAGTTTCCCAAACTTTTGACATATGTGTACCCCTTCTATAATTTTCGTAACGCTGAGTACCCCTCGTACTCATGAGAACATAGAATTAGGCGCAGCTAAGCATGGTGCAGTGCATATCCCCACCAAACTCTTCCCGTACCCCTGGGGATACGAGAACCACACTTTGGGAAACACTGTCTTATAGGAAAAAAGAAGAGGATTGTAATAGGTAGAAAAAATGTTTGTTAGTGGAAAATTATTTAACTGAAACAGTATCATTCTGTTAGTGTAACTGAAGTATTAGACACTGTTCCTATGTAGATGTTTTCTGTGAAGCTGGTTTTTAAAATGTTACAACCTGTTTTTTTTAAGGGGAGGTGGGTGGGAAAGACAGGGAAATAAAAAAATCAAAATGTTGATGTATATGTAACTACTAGAGGCCTGGTGCACACCAGTGGGGTCTCTCAGCCTGGCTGTGGGATAGAGCCAAAATTGGCTCTCTGACATCCCCTGAGGGGTCCCGGATTGCAAGAGGGTGAAAGCCAAGCCAAGGGACCCCACAGGTGCAGGATGGGGCTAGAGAAAGATACGGGAGGTTGGCCAACCGGGAAGGGACTATGGGAGTGCTCCAGGATGTGTCTCACTCAGTCCTGATTGGCCAGATCCTACTGGTTGGAGCATCTGCCCCATAGTGGTCAGTCCACATCATAGCAACTGGTCAACTGGTTGAGTGTCTGCCTCCTGGTGCACATTATAGCAAGTGGTTGAATAGTCTTAGCATATCATTAGCATCTTACATTTTGATTGGTTGAACAGCCGACCCATCGACCAGACACTTATTATATTAGGCTTTTATTATATAGGATAAAAAAATAAAAAATAAACTTACTACCCCCAGTTTTCTTTTCTTTTCTTTTTTTAAATATATTTTATTGATTTTTTACAGAGAGGAAGAGAGAGGGAAAATAGAAACATCGATGATGAGAGAGAATCATCGATCGGCTGCCTCTTGCACACCCCCTATTGGGGATGTGCCCACAACCAAGGTAGATGCCCTTGACCGGAATCGAACATGGGACCTTTCAGTCCACAGCAAGCTGACGCTCCATCCACTGAGCCAAACCGGTTTCGGCCCCAGTTACTTCTTTATATGTGGAGGAATAATTACTTCAAACCACATAGGAATTCCTGGCCAAAATGTCCATCCTGAGGTGTTTCATTTAGAAACATACACATAGATCCTTTCAAAAGATTTGTTATCAAGGGCTGAAACTAAGAAGGAAATAGTATTTCCAGGATATTCACTATTAAAATAACTGAATAATCTATTACTAATCATTTCTGTCAACAAAGGTAATATCCTACAGTTGATTTTTTTTGTATGAAGGTGTTTTTGTAAAAAAAAAAAAAAAAAAAAAAAAAAAAAAAGGCAGTCTCATGGGATCAATAATATTTTAAAAGAAGTACAATTAACACATGGAATTTCATGAATTTAAACCATAATTTTGCATTGATTTGACCTCTCTCAACACGGAAAAGTGAATGCACAATTCAACTTAATACCGTGTTTCCCCGAAAATAAGATATCCTCCAAAAATAAGAGCTACTTACAGGTTTCCTTCTGAGTGAAATATAAGGCATCCCCCGAAAATAAGCCCCCCCCCACCCCCTAGGCTAAACATGAGAGATTTGGTCCACTGATTCTGAAAGAAATGGAATCACAAGAAATTCACCAGGAAATTCAGGAATTGGATTGTTATGATGATGTTCCAGAAGATGATGACATGATTGTCACTGAATAAATGAGTAAATTCTTGATACTGTAGGATTCACAGTTTGTCTGGTTTGTGTTGACAACTACTGTATTACCATACCATATACGGGTAATAAATTTCCTTTATTTTCATTTAACAATAAATGTGTACCGTATTCTTCTTCATGAAAAAAAATAAGACATCCCCTGAAAATAAGACCTAGCGCATCCTTAGGAGCAAAAATTAATATAGGACACTGTCTTATTTTCAGGGAAATAGGGTAGTGCATTAAAATCAGGATGCATAAAAACAAAATATCCTTGACTAGGTCCTGACCTATGCTTCTCACGTTCCCCAGCTGTGACTAAGAAAAGGAAGCAAGAGAAAAAAATTCCCTGACTTGTCCTACAACCTAGATTCTATGGAAGTAGGAACAGGAAATAACAGCAATGACTAAGGTTTGTGTGTGGGGTTTTTTAAATCCCTCTCCTCCCTCTAAAGCAAAGAGACCAATTTTCAATTAGGGATGAGAACTTAGGCAAGAGTAGAGCCTGTTATAGGGCTGAAAAGATAAATATTTTTCTTAATCTGACTATTAACATTTCATTGTAATTATTAATGTAATAATGTTTTTCATAATGATGAAACAAGCAGCTACATATGGTCAAGAAAAAGAAAGTCACATGAGTTAAGATCCATTAAGCATGTTTAAGATTGCTCTATGAATCCTCTGGCCTGCTGGTCTCTATCAGCAGTGGTTTTCAACCTTTTCCATCTCACAGCACACATAAACTAATTACTAAAATTCTGTGGAAAACAAAAAATTGTTATATTTTTTACTGATCTGACAAAAAATAGGTATAATTTTGATTCATTCACAGTGGATAGCTATTGTGTTGTCATTTTTTCTCCCCCACAATCTAAGGGAAAAGAGGTCAGTGCCCCTGACTAGTCAAGTATTGCTTATTAAATTTTTTGCAGCAGCAGCCCGACTGGTGTGGTTCAGTGGTTGAGCATATCAACCTATGAACCAGGATTCCCACATGGCGGGGTTGTGGGCTAGATAACCAGTGGAGGGTGTGCAGGAGGCAGCAATTCAATGATTCTCATCATTGATGTTTCCATCTGTCTCTCTGGAATCAACAAAAATGTGTATTTTTAAAATTATTACAATAAGAAGTACACTGATTGAAAATCATTGCTCTATCATAAGTAAATATTACCAGCTGTAACATAACTGGAGTCACTGAGTAAAGTTAAACCCTAATTTGATTTAACTACTTTACTAAACAGTGGACCGTAGAAAGTAAAATATGTATTTCTCTTCTTTCTCCCCTTCCCACCAACGGGAGTAGAAATCAAATACTTTCAAATAAGTTATATGAACTCAAGATCAAATGTTTAAAGAAAAAAAGAGGCATAATTGGGAATGCCAAGCAATATTCATCAACTCAAAGACTAATGTATGATGAACTGTATGACAAAATAACTTTTCTATTAAAAGCTAGTGAGATGAGTATTTTATTAGGTAAATTAAAGATCTCAACTTCATACATAGTTTTCTAACTTTATAAGATGTAAAAAGTAAAAGAACTACTTTAGTACCTTTCCCAACAACACACAGTAAAAGCTTGCAGCAAAAAGAATCGCTTCTCGGCCTTTTGGCTAAGATCAAGTGCAAAAAGAATGTCAATCAATAAGCAGATAGAATTAGTTAATATGCTATATATCTCTCATCACTTAAATCTAAAGAAATGTAATTAGCATTTCCAAATTCTTTCTTGTAACTATAGATCCTTCCCTCACAACTTACTATTTTTATTCCAACTTATTATAACAATGGCACCTTATTCCTCTCAAAAGCATTATCTATCCAAAGCGGACAGAAACCCGAAATACAGTAACAGTAACAAATGTGAAAAGTTCCCAGTTATAAAAACTGTGGCAAAAACAAAACAAAACAAAAAACACCACCAAAAAAAAAAAAAAAAATGCCGAACCTTAAACAGAAAAAGGATCCACTTTTCACTCAGAAATTCTCTAGTCAACTGCAGTTTTCTCAATTACTTACTTTGTTCATCAATATGAAACACAAGCACACACAAAAAGGGTCTTTCCTTCCTCTTTCTTCATTATCTCTGTTTCCATTTATTTCACAAAAGGAGATCCGTTCTTTTTTACGCTTCATTGTTTTGTGGTTCCCATTAGAATTTTCCCATCCTATAATCTCACCCATCACAGCTTCTCACACTGCATTTCACGAAATTAAACTTTAAGTTCTAGAGACTGAAAACTCTCCAGGAGCCCATCAGAATGCTCCGGGACTCACGCGCGAGGGCTTCTCCGGCCAGCAGGTGGGCGGTTTCATAATTCACACACACCCCAGTGCTCTGGGGCTGGCACAGCAGTGTTCATTTCAGTTTGGCCCCCCTTCAGTCTAACGGACTAAGAGACAGGCCTTTCTCATCCACCTGAAACAACACTTCGGCCTTTTCCAAAGTTAAGGGGAAACGGGCTAGCAGGTCAGCGCCATCCCACTGACTAAGGGGGTGATGACAGACCAGGAGGAGCCCTAATGCGTCCGGAGAAAATTACTCGAGGGTCCCAGCGACTCGACGGGCTGGCCCAACCCGGCCCCAGCTGGGGCTCCTGACTCCTCTCTACGCGCCCGAGCCAGCCCTTCCCGCCACCGCTCTCCCCGAATCCGTCTCCCAGCACCTCAGCCTCCAAGGCTTCCTCTCCTCTCCTTCAGGACTGCAGGCTCCCCTCCCGGCCGGCCACCCCATCCCGGCCCCCCAGCCAACCCTCCCCCAGTTCCCGCTCCGCCACCCCACCCCTCCGCTGTGCACCTTTCTCCCGAGGGTGCTCTGGGCCCCGGGACGCCCGCTCCTCAGCCCGGCCACCTCGCTGCCGGCACCCCGGGCCTCCTGCCACTCCCCGAAGACCCCGCCGGGACCCACCTCGAAGAGCTCGGCCGTCGTAGCCATCCCGGCCGGCTGGGAGGCTCGCCTCGCGCTGGACGCCGTCTCGGCTTCACATGCTGCGCCTCAGCGGCGCCGCGCACAGGTCCCCGCTCCGCTCGCCGGCTCCGGCCCCCGGACGCCGCGGGCTCCCCAGCTCCCCTCCGAGCCCAGGCGGGGCAGGAGAGCGGCCATGAAGCGAAGCTGCAGACGCCTGTCAGCTGCCTCCCGGCGCCGCCCGCGCCGCTCCCATTGTCACCGCCTCGACGCCGGAAGTGGAGCTGCGCGCGCGCCGGCGCAGCAGTCGGGAGGGGCGCGCGGCCGGCGCACCGCGGGAAGGCTCGCCGCTGAGCGCGCGAGGAACCTTGGTCCTGGCGGGCCACCGTCCCGGAAGTGGGCTTTTCGAGGAAGCCAGTCCCGGGGTTGCTGGGGAATCTTCTTAAATTCTCGGGATTCTAGGTGCGGATTCGCAGAACTCTGCCGCGGCCTGTGTTGGCCGGGACGGACTCAGAGGCTTTTTAAGTCACTGCATTTGAAGGCGCTCGCTTCTCCGCTGAGCCGCACCTGTTCGTGGTGGGGCAGGAGGCAGCTCGGATGAATGAAACTCGGGCTTCTGTTAAGAACCCATCGGAGAAAGCAGGTCTGCGCTCTCCTCCGTGGCGGCCTTAGGGGTGCCCTGCTGCACTAGCGGCTTACCATGGCTCTGCGAGCGGTGTGGCTCATAAGCCATGAACCCGGAACTCCCCTTGGCGGCACGGTCAGGTTCTCCAGGTAAATGCGAGTCTGCATCCTCCGGGACGATCAGTCGGAGGAATGGATCGTGGAGCACAGTTTTGCGACGCAGTGTGTTGCGGATCCGAAGCCTAGTGCGAATTACTTAACCTCTAGTTCACCTGTTAAAGGAATATGTTAATGATACTAACTCAGTGTTGTAAATGGGTTGATGCCTGGCACATAAGTATTGTGTGTTTTCTAACAGTGTTATTTAGTAGTACTACGTCTAAAATGACTACACCTGCTTAGTATTGATGTGGAGATGAAAGGAAGGGAACACGTGTATACAATTTTTTCTTGCACTACTAAAAATCAGTCAATGGCATTTTAACTCATTCTTCTGGAAAATCCTTGCTGAGCAGTATCAGACTGTTATTTTCATCTTATCGTGTTTCATTCCTAGAAAACTTCAGATAGTTTAACTCTCCTAATTGTTGAAGAAAATGGACAAAATACCAAATTACATTGTATTCACCTTTTCTTAGATGGTGTAAGCTGATCTAGTTTTATTTCTAGAATTTGCCACATGTACCAAAATAACTGCGAAGAGTACTGTATAACTTCAGAAAATGTGGGTGGCAATTGAATAATCTGTTTCACCTTTTATTCTCAGTGGCTATTGACAGTTTATGTATTGCCAACAAATTCTTTTCTGAGGAAAGCTCTGTAGTGAAGTAGTAGACATAAACTGAGATTGAAGCAAATAAAGATGAGAGTGATTTTAAATGAAAAGTGGTTGGCAATGTGGACGTGAAAGGTTCCCACTTTGCAACCTAAACAATTTTTGTTACTAAGGGGCATCAGGTTGGAGTTTACCATTTCCCCCCAGAATACGGACTTCCATTTGTTTTTACCTTAAGTAAGGTGGTATAATATTCTCCAGTATGGTTTATTAGCCTCATTGTTCTATCCAAAGTACTCCTCATTTTATTAATATATTCTTTTGGGTATCTTTATTTCTGCCATTCTCCTTGCCTCATAGGTAACATATCTTTGTTGCTATCTTTGTATTTGTGTGTGTGTGTGTGTGTGTGTGTGTGTATTCATTTTTCAAATTATATCATTGTTCCTTCGATTTCATTCCCTTTCCTTTGTCAGATTTCTCAGCATTATTTTAAAGAAGCTTCCATGTTATTTTGAGCAGCACTATTCAATATAATTTTCTGCAGTGATGGACATGGGAAATGTCCTAAATCTGTGCTAATATTAAAGCCACTAACCACATGCAGCTTTTGAAATGTGGTTATAGCAACTGAGGAACTCAGTATTGTTTACCTTTATGTTTAATCACATATGGCTAATGGCTACTATATTGGACAGTGCAGGTCTAAGTCATTACTTCTGCTTGCTCTGTAGTAATCCATGGTTTACACCTTCGATATTTACCTATCCTCTTCCAGAGTGATGTATCCCAGGTTGCCTCCAACTCTGCCATAGAACACTGCTACGGTAGATAACCTCAAAAGGTGTATGGGGCATATCTGAGCTGATTTTGACTAAATATTGCCAAATGAATAATACTTTCTCCAGTCTACACTCTCACTAACAATGAGGGTCCCTGTATCGCCTTTCTTTCCTTTTCAGTTTTTGCCACAATAGTATTTTATTTTCATTTGATTTTCTCTGTGTAGCAATGATTGTTAACCCTTTGGATTCCCTCTTATGTGACTTGCCTATAGATATTCTTTGTTCATTTTTTTTTCTTTGAGACTTGCTGTTGTTTTTCTTTTCTGTCATTATGCAGGAGTTAATTGTGTATTCTTGAAATACTAGTCTTATGTCATTTTTTAAGCTATTACAGATATTTTCTCTTCATTCATTGCCAATTAATGTTGCCCTTGGTTGAACAGAAATCACTAAGTTTATTGCAAGCAAAGTACTTAGTTCTTTGAGGGATATCTTCTTATATTATCTTCTCTTAACTTTGTCATTTTATTTGTTATATTTACATCTTTAATCTATCCATTGTCCATCTTTGGATATGGTGTTAATTTAGGATTCCCATTTGGTTTTTCTCTATACAGTGGGCCAGTTTTCCAACATCGTTTTCCAAACAATACATATTTTCTCCATTGATTTGTGGAGCTATTGATGGTTTATTATGTTTCCCATATAACCATTGGTCTGTCTTGGTTCTGCTACTTGGCTGTTATTGTACCAATACCATACTGTATTTATAATTGTGGCTTTGTAGCTTATCAAAAATAACCTCCTTGAAGAAGTCATGCTTGTTTTCAGAATTTTTTTCCCCACTGAGCTCAGAATATTTCAGAAGGAAAATTCAGATATGTTTAGTTGAGCACTTCAACATCTTAATGGAGGCAGCAAGTTTGGTTCAAATAATTGATTTGTCACTTATTCTGTATTGTTGAATGAATTAGTTAAGTTTTATTATTTCAGTTTTCTGACTTGTTGGGACTAGTGGTAGGGCAAACAGATATACTCTAACATATTACCCACATATATGCCAAACAATAATGACCATAATTTAATATTTAAAAAGATAAATGATCTTTCCTGTGTCTAACTACTTTTACCCTACAAAAGAAACTTGATTTAGATTCTATTTTAGAGGTTTTCTGCCTGGATAGATACTAGTAATAGTATCAGGTTAAGTCTGGCTGAGGTTGAATTGTATCTCATAGTTGTAGGACCATTTTAGAAAAGGCCTAGAATAAATCCAAAATGGCAAGTTGAATCATCCAACAAAAATATTTATTGAGCATACATTGAAGCATTGTAAAGATCCCAGATTAACTTCTTAGTTACATTCAGTCATTAGATTCTTGCATTTAAGAAGAACTTTGATTATCCTTTAAGTAACTAGACTGTAAGGTACTGTTCTAATAGTTTAATTAACTATTAAATTATATTTTGTAGTAGAGTTTAGTCCAAAGTTCTCAACTATTCTTAGAAAGAAATGGCATCCACCTACAACATTACTGGAGTGCTAACTAAATCTTTCCCTTTCTCAACCAAGAAAATGCATCAGAAGGTAAATGAATAAGGATCACCAATACACTGATACATTTCAATATATTGTTTTTCATTTTAAACAATATTAGTAAACATCAATGTTTTATTAGTAGAATTAGTGAAAAAAATTTATTTTGGCCAATGTGTGTTCTTGATCCTTAATGAGAATTACTGGTATGTTCTTTAGCCACCTTTTTATTTTACTAATAAGAAAAAAGACTTGGGGAAGTTAGGTAATTTACACAGAAGTTAATAGCCAAGAGATTGATTTTGTTTGGATTGTGTAGAGGTAAGGAATAGAGAAAGCACCTATTTTTTTTTAACTAAGAAAATATGATCTAACATTTCTATAAATGAACAAAACCACTTTCTTTTCTGATTCCCACCCCCCAAAAAAGGGATGAATTAGTAACTTACCATTGAACCTAGAGCATGCAAATCATAAAGGATTATTCAGATTTTTTTATTACCTTATACTATCTTCGAGGGCCAGAGAGGTAAACCATTATTACTAAAATGTTTTTTTTGTTTGTTTTTTAGGGATTGGCAAAAAAACTTGGGGTACCTGTTATTCACTCTAAGTTAAATAGAATAGAATATTCCTCTTGTAATTTTATCATCTCAACTAGTGAACTAAAAATTGTAGAGGGTTAAATCAAACCACTTCCTTTGATCCTACTCTACTAAATTGGGATCAGAAAGTAAAGTTCTTATAGATTCCTAAAATGTGGCCAGATACACATTCCTTGCCTATTAAGTGGGAATCTCAATGGCCAAGAGACTAGGATTTCAAATTAGAACCATATTCTCTACCTATTTAAAAAAAATAAACTATTAAATTATGTTTAGTAGTAGATAATGATACTTTATCATTTGAGATAATATACCAACTATGCAACAGTTCATTACGATAGCCAGAACTTAACAAGCAATATAACATTTTTGGGATTATGGTTTTCGTGGGTGTGTATGTGTTTGTTACTGTGTATTTTGTTATTACTATTTACCTTCAGTTTTTAGTTTGTTTTTTGCTTTTGGGGTCTTCCATTTTTATTTTACTTGGAAGAATAATTTTTAATGTTTTTGTTTCCATACTACAGACGGTTTCCAACTGTTGAAAAACGAGCCAAAGTCTTCAATGGAACAAGTTATGTGCCTATTCCTGAAGATGGTCCCTTTCTTAAATCATTACTCTTCGAACTTAGATTATTGGATGAAGATAAGGACTTCACGGAGAGTCGTGATAGCTGTTCTCGCATCAATAAAACATCTGTGTATGGACTTAAAGTGGGAGGTGAAGAACTCTGGCCAGTTGTTGCTTTTCTGAAGAATGGCATAGTATATGCTTGTGTTCCACTAGTTGAACAAACTTTATCTCCTCGTCCAGCACTAATTAGCATTAGTGCAATTTCACAAGGCTTTGAACTTCTTTTTGGGATACAGGATTTTCTTTACTCAAGTCAAAGAATTGACACTGAGCTAAATACAAAGCTGAGCCAATTGCCTGACCTGCTTCTACAGGCTTGCCCCTTTGGAACTGTATTAGATGCCAACTTACAGAATTCGTTGGATAGCATCAGTTTTGCTTCTGTGACTCATCCACAAAAGCAGCCAGCCTGGAAAGCTGGGACATACAAAGGAAAACCACAAGTTTCTATTTCCATCACTGAAAAAGTAAAATCTATGCAATATGATAAACAGGATATTGCAGATACATGGCAAGTAGTTGGAACTGTCACTTGCAAGGTGAGATTTTTCTCTGGTACTTGTTTTATCACACCATTTAACACCTGTGGAGAAAAGTAACATTTACTGATTTTAGTTTACATTGTTATATGGCACTAAAGGCCCGATGCATGAAATTCGCGCAAGGGGCTCAGCCCTTGCAGCCGCCGCCTCTGTCCTCGAATCCCCAGCTTTGTCTAGAAGGACATCCAAAGGGACTTCAGGAAGGTCATTAGGCTGGCCAGTCTAATTAGCATATTATGCTCTTATTATTATAGATTATTATAGATTGTTGATTTTTATCATAAACAGCAGTCACTAGATATTAAATTCATATCAAATTTGATAAAATTATCTTTTTACATTCCTTAGTTATATCTTGCTACAGTAATGAATTGCCCCATTGTCCCAACAAAGACATTTATTATCATTTCTGTGGGTCAGGATTTCAGGAGCAACTTAGTTGAAACTTCCGATATGGAGTCTCTCATGAAATTACAGTCTAGATTTCAGCTGGAGCAATAATCACCTGAAGGTTTGATAGGGGCTAGAACATCTCACTCACAATGACTGGTTTATGGTCGGAGGTCTTAGTTCCTTTCCATGTGAACTTTTCAACATGCTGCTTAAGAATGTCCTCACAACTTAGTGACTAGTTTTTTGTAGATCAAATGGTTAGACAGGAGACAGACATGGGGCTGAAACCGGTTTGGCTTAGTGGATAGAGTGTCGGCCTGCAGACTGAAGGGTCCCGGGTTCGATTCCGATCGAGGGCATGTACTTTGGTTGCGGGCACGTCCCCAGTAGGGGGCGTGCAAGAGGCAGCTGATCGATGACTCTCATGTTTCTAACTCTCTATTTCTCTCCCTTCCTCTCTGTAAAAAATCAATAAAATATATTTTTTTTTAAAAAGAGAGAGAGTCAAACGGACATGGGGTACAAGTAGAAGCTATATTTTTTATTACCAAACGAGTTAGATAGCTTCACTCCCACCATTTTCTGTTGTTGAGAAACAGGTGACTAAGTCTAGTCCGCATTCAAGGACTGGAATTAGGCTTCACCTTTTCAAAAGAGTTAAATAATTTGTGAAAATATTTTAAGACCACCATATCTGTTTTCTGTTTTCTCTAGAGGAGGTGAGACTGACAAACCTCAGATTTAATATCTAAAGTCATTTTGAAAGGCTCTTGATTTATTTAAACAAGTAATGAGTTAATATGGGGTCCTCTGGTTAGAAAGTAGGAAAAGTCAACAGAAATAATAGATAGCAGTGATCAGTACCATGTTGAATAATGATCTAAATAAAAACCTCCAAGTACAATTTTTACAAGTGGATATTAACATTCTCAGGTACCTTTATTTTTCTATCTTCCTTTATTCTCTGTTCTTAAGAATATGAACTTTTACATATCAAACTTAATACTGACTACACATCCTATAAATAAAAGTAGATTTCAAGAACAGAGAAGTAGAACCGTCCTGGGATAAATTGGGTCTTCCTTTTCCCTTTTACATTAAAGTGACTTACGAATGTATATATTTAAATTCACTTCCATCATGATAAAAAATACATAGCAGTTATTAAGTTTATTAGAAGTATAAATAGCTCCAAAGTTGAGGTGTTTGTGGGTTATTTGTAAGCCTTAACACAGTTGAAGTCTTTTTTCTTATATTTCTGTGACAATAAGTAGGGAATATTCTATATAATGAAGAACTAATATGCAATTAGACCAAACAGCAGAACAACCGTCCAGATGACCTTCTGGATGACCTTCCAAACATGCAAGGCAGGGCTGCGAGGGTAGAGTCCCTTGCATGAATTCTGTGCATTGGGCCTCTAGTGTTATATATAATTTACTAATAATTAATACTATGGTATTTAAATGTCTCAGCTCATTAATAAGCTGACCCTAGTTTATTGTGTATTGGAATTTTAGGTTGATTTCTATTTTTTTGTCTGATACAAATTATGGAAAACTCTTCAAAAAAACTTTCTTCTAAAAGTAAAAAGCATATGGCTGTACTTTAATCCACATAATAAATGTTTCTTTAAAGTTGTATGTAAATAGTATATATGTTAGCTAAACATTTTTTAAGTATTTCAGAAGCTTAGTATACAAAGTTTTATTTTGAAGCCTATTGTAAATGGAAGTAATTATCTTCATTTTATCTTAGTCCTAGTAGATAACCAAAAAACAGTGGACTAAAGTTCTAGTCCCCACTTTACTGCTAATTTTCCATGTCTTTTGAAAAAAATCTTAATTCTTAAATTTTTTGCTTATTTTTAAAATCAACTTCCTAGGACCCTTCTGTTTTTATAATTTCTAGTTAAAAGCCCACATTTACATATGCCAGATTGGTTTTAAAGGGTGGTACAAAGATTTCTTCTAAAATAAATGACTGGTGATCTGTTATTTTAAATGCTTAGGAAGTGGATAATTTGTTGGTAGTTTCCATAATGGCTGCATTTTCCTGATCCCTGTAAGAATATTAGAAGCTAATTAAATAAGTATAAATTGATTGTTTAAAAATTATATTAGCATTTGCTATTAATACTTGCATACTTTGTTATCTTTATAAATATCTGTCAAAAAACAAGACTTTTTTTCTTGCTAATTCACATATGGAAATAAAATGACAGATGGTATAGAAGTTAAAGCACTAAAATATATTTTTTTAAGTGTTATAATAAGAGTGTATAGCATTTTTATTTTCAAATGTGATTGATATTATTGTAACTGTCACTGAAAGACCTTTATAAAACACTAATTATGCATGGTACTTTTTATATGCCTGCCTACTTTTTAAGTATTTACATTTTATAGCACATATATTCTTGAATTTATAAATATATATATGTCAATAGATAAAATGTAAAAGGTGAAATATTTCAGATTAAAATGGAAAACAAAGGTAGGCTCCATAATTATAAAACTATATTCATTCAGCAAATATTTTTTGGGTGTCCCTTATGCATAGCAATGTGCTAGACACTAAGAATGTGAAGAAAAACAGAGGTCTGTGAAGCTGTCGAATCTAGCTTCCATGACCTTCCTTGAAAACTGACTTCCTTTTCCCCTCTACCTTCTAAGTCTCTCATTACCTCTCATTGGCAAACTAACACAGACCACATAGGAAAAAAGATCTTTGGCTTCTCTTCATTGCAGAGATAGGCTGTGGAGCTGACAAAACAGAATGTAAGGCCCAAAGCATCACATGAACTGAAGTTAAAAAGAGAAAAGAAGATTGTAGCTGGAGGGAATAGCACATAACAAGCATGGAGGTATAGGATATTATGATTTATTTAAGAATTCATTATGTCTACAGCATTAGTTGCAGGGTGGAAAATGATGGAAGATGTAAGTGGTAGCCAAATAATGAAAGGTTTTCAAAGTAGTACAAAGCTAAGAGGAAACTACTGAAACGTTTTGCACATGGATACAGTATAATTAAAATTACGTTTCATTCAGATAGTGACACTAATGGAGGGTGGATTGGTTAGAGGAAAACAAAACTAAATACATTTACAAGATTATGACCAAGATTGTAAAGTCTTGACCAGTGTGTTTGCAACAAGAATGGAGAGAAGTCACTGGGTTTAATATAGCTTTTTAAAGGTTGAAAGTAAAAGCAAAGGATTCCAGGAAGGCTCTCCTAGTCTCTGGCTTGAGTGTCTGAGAGCATGATAGAACTACTAACGAGAACAGACAGCAAAGAGAGCAATGTCTTAAGAGAAAAGTGAGTTACGTTGTGGAAAATGATTCAGATAAATTGAGGAAAGTCTTGCCCAGAAGATGTTTGCTTCTAAGATCTTGGTAATAATTTTCCTTTTCTATTACAGTGTGATTTAGAAGGAATCATGCCAAATGTTACCATCAGCTTGAGTCTCCCTACCAATGGATCTCCACTTCAGGATATTCTAGTTCATCCTTGTGTGACTTCTCTTGATTCTGCCATTCTGACTTCTAGTAGCATTGATACAATGGATGATTCTGCATTCAGTGGACCTTACAAATTTCCATTCACTCCACCTTTAGAGTCATTCAACTTATGTTACTACACTTCCCAGGTAAACAACCTTGAAAAAGTTGAGACTTTGCAGATCATTCATACATTTGGTCCAAAGGAGAACTTTTCATGAGTCATTTACCAGATGAATGAAAATGAAGATTCAATTCTTTGAATAAGATGCCTCTTATCTGGTGTCCACTTAATGTTTTCAAAGTCATGGAATTTTTTTTTAATGTTCCCAAATAAGGAGTTTATAGTCATAGGGAAGATCTTGGTATAATTATGGTTTGAGCCACGAACTTGTAAAAATGCCTTAATCCTTGGCAGCTGTGGTTATTAAATATATAATATCATTAATAGCTGTTTATTGCTTATTGAAAAACTGTTGTGTCAGACATTGTCCTAGGCACTTTACATGTATTTTCTCTAAAACTTTCAAAACCTTTGTATTTTTAATCCCCACTTTACAGATGAGGAGAGTCTCTGAGAAGTTCAGTGGCTTGTACAAGGTCATATAACTACTAAGTAGCAGAGCCTAGATTTGAACCCAAATTTTCCAGATTCCAAAACCCACTTTACCATTTGTCTCTTATAATTGTGAATCAGTGGTTCAGAAAAACCTACTCAAGCTAGTGTAAGAATTTACTTTTGAGAAGACAAAAGACAATCTCATTGTCATTCAAGGATAGGAAGTAGACCCAGGCTTTACTGAAACTACAGTCAGAAATTAAAATTAAAATTACTTTATACTCAAGATCTACACTGTCAGTCTCATCCCTGCTTCTGTCTCCTCTTCCACCTAGCTTTCTCAGCTTGCATATGTCCTCCAGTATTAGGACGTGCACTGTAAAAGTAGGTCCTTCCTATTTCTTATTTCTGATTACTAGAAATATTGATATGCTCACCCCAACTTACAGATTGTCTCCCTTTCAATCAATTATTGATGACCAATTTGGTAAGCTACTGCTGAGCTGGGTGTGGGGTGGAGTGTCACAATATACAGATGGGGCAACAGGAACTGTGGGCAGAGTGTCAGTGCCTGTCCTAAATGGCAGGTCATAGAGAACCTGAAGGAGGGGAACCTGGATGAGCAAGAGTAGGAAAAAGAATGCAAAAATGAATTGCACACCTTCATCAGGCACCTTTCTCATCTCTGAGTACAGAAAGAGATGGAAGAATCTTTGCCTTTACAATGAATGTAGCTCCATCATCTATTATATAAACAACTTGGGGTAACCCATTAGTCCTTAACAATGTATCTTTAAATAATGAATATATTACTGCAAGATTTTTTTCTCAATTGCCATTGATATTTTAAACCCATTAACCTGACAATTATATAAGTTTATATATGTTTATTTCCAGGTTCCTGTCCCACCAATTTTGGGCTTTTATCAAATAAAAGAGGAAGAAGCACAACTAAAAATAACAGTTAATTTAAAACTTCATGAAAGTGTGAAAAATAATTTTGAATTCTGTGAAGCTCATATACCATTTTACAATAGGTAGGAATAAAATAACATGATGCCATTAGTACATTTCCACTGCCCTATAGTGAACTGTCTTTGTTTTTAACCTTTTTAGATTTTTCTTAATGCTATTCAAACGAATGCTGATTCTGAACCAAAACATAGTGATAGAAATAATCTCTGCCTTTAAATGTGTCTTTTTTATTTTTCTGGTTAAACATGCTAATAAATATAAACATAAGCCAGCATAGCTTTCTCAGAGATTGTTTCACTCCTGGCTTTATTTCTAGCAGTTTCTCTCTACATAAGACAAGCCTTGCTATCGACTATTTGGTGAATTAAATCAATCATATAAGATTATTGAAAGATTACAGTTAACTCTTATACAGTTGAGGGTTGAGCTACCAACCCGGCACAGTGGAAAACCCTTGTATAACTTTCGGCTCCTCAAAAACTTATCTACGCTTGACCCTTCACACCTGGGGATTTCCAATTATAGGTTGAAAAGGTTAACCTATGGACAACACAGGTTTGAACTGTTGTAGGGACCTATGTTAATCACGGGTCAACTGTACTTTCTCATCAATTCTACTTTTAAACTTGTTCTACAGCATAGTTCTTTGCAAAGTGGATAGTAAAATTACAGTTTTAATATGTCAATCTATGTGACTATTAATATATTTTATATTATTTTACATTTACCTTTAGAATTAATAATAAAATATATGTCATCACCATAATGTTTATTGTGCTTCTGGCATTTTTTGAGATATAGTATTATTTGTTCTACTCTATTCTGCCAGCTTGAATATAGAAATGCTTTTATGCTACCTTTGTATTAAGTAACAGTAGCAAGATTTGACTTAGATTTCTTAAAATTACTATATCTGTGATCTTTTTTTCTTTTTTTTTTTTTTGTATTGTCCTTTTTTAAAGAGGTCCAATCACACACGTGGAATACAAAGTTAGTTTTGGCCAGCTCGAAGTATTTCGAGAAAAAAGCTTATTGATCTGGATTATTGGTGAGCCAGGTTTTGTTTATTGATTATTTTTCATCCATTTGCTTTAGAATCTACTTAATTTATGATATTTGATTGGCATATTTTTGTTTTTAGGTCAGAAGTTCCCAAAATCAATGGAAATTAGTCTTTCTGGAACTGTAACTTTTGGAGCCAAGAGCCATGACAAGCAGCCATTTGACCACATTTGTATTGGGGGTACAGCATACTTAAAGGTAAATATATTTGTATGGCTCACTCCCTTAGAAACCTTTCTTTTGCTTCTAAACTACATATATCTAATTGATTTTTAATGTTTTCTAGCCATTTTTTAAAACTCTGGGGGTTGGGGGGTTTGTGTGTGTGTGTTTTCTTTTTGTCTGTGCTGTTCTTTTTTTATTTTTGTGAAATTATTTTTGTTTAGTGTTAGTAACTTTCTATTTCAGTTAATACTGTAAAACTTTTTTAAGGTGATGCAAGTAAGTATGACCTAAACACCTCACCTTAATCTATTTCTGCACAGGTATCCTTATCACATGTGAAATTTTTATACCAAAAATGTAAAATGTAGTCCTTTTCCCCTAGAGTTATTTTCAGTAATCCATGTCAACAATTGATCAATGCTAATAGCTTTTGGTATTTCAAGGACAAAGTGAGCACTTCTAGTCAATGTGGTCAAGGAAAGTATTGCAGTAGAAATGGAATTTAAACAAAACTCTGAGGCCCAGATAAGCATGAATGTGAAGCCATGAAGACTAACATTTGTATGAATTAAAGAGATAACATAGAAGATTGAAGGATAACAAAGCATGCTTAGGAACCAGTGCCAGGAACAATAATAGCACATAAGGATGGATACATGATTTAGGTGTATATTGTAGAGGGTTTCACTCTAATTTTTTTTCCTTTGTTAGAAAATGTCATAATTTTTTTGAGTAGAGGAGTGGTCTTTCAGAAAGTGATACTTTATGAAGATTAAGCTAGAATGTATGTGAAGAAGGTAAAAGGGAAAAAATAACTATAGACAAAGAAACTGTTTTTTAGCTCTATTATTAGTATTCCAGATGAAAGGTATAAGTTAATGATGCTGAGTTCCTATAGTGTCACCGAAAGAGAAAGGATGAGAATAAAGGAAGAGACTGCTGTAGGAATTATAATAAACATAAAGCCTTGGTCACTGATTAAATATATAGAGACAAGTACTTTTAAGTCAAAGATGGTATTATTAAAAATATATGGAATTTAAACAAGACTTGAGGCTCCAAGAGAGTGGAGACCATGTGAGTCTCATTCACTCATTGTTTTACTACCAACATCTAGTCCAATACTTGCCACAATAAATATTTGATGAGCGGATCAATATAGTACTTAGAAGAAAATACTGATGTGGAGAAAGTTGAGAGGGAGCAGGCTTCATGTCATGAATATTGCTGGTGATAGCAATGTATCCCAGTGTAAGTGTTCAGAATGTAGCTAAAAATTTGGAGCAGGATTCTCAAAAGAGAGCTCAACTATATATAAGATTTGGGAGTTATCCATGGAAAAGAAAGTCAAGTCAGAGGAAATAAGATTAAAAAAATAAAAAATAATTTTAAAAAAGATAAGAGAAAATAAAGAGAAAGATATGGAAGAACCAATGAAGTAAATTGAAGAAGTGATCAAAAAGGTAACAGGAAAAGCTAAATAGAATAGTATCAAAAAAAAAGAGATTGAAATCCATACATAAAAGCATTAGTACTTCTGAAGTCAGAAGTACACTTGTGACATTCATTTCTTCTGTCTTAATTTTAACAATATCCACAAGCTTTGTTTCAAGGATTAATATAAAAATTCCTGCTTCCAGATATTTTTCAGAAAAAAATGTGGGATGTTAGTTACTACATTGTATGTCTTTCAAAGATAGGGATTATGACTTTTCTATTCATTTCTATCACCTAACCAGATGTAATTTAATCAAAAGCATGTACTACATATTTGTGTTCACTAAGTAGACTTATTTTTATGATATGTAGCTTTTTGGAAATCAACCTTGTCATAACTTTCAGCCTCCAGAACTATGCTAAACAAACAATTAAAAGCCCTTTATTATTGAGATAATTTGAATTGCAACAGGAAAGACATTGCAAAGATCTGGAAATTACATTCCATGCAGGGTTCAGTTAGTTTGGTAATCAAAATGAGAAAGTTAGGAAGTAGGAGAAATTTGCAAGAAAGGGAGATAAAAGAAAAAAATATAGAAAAGTTACCAGGTTATTGCAAAATCAGGAACTTTTAGCAGCAAAGATGAAGAGAACCAAGGCTACTGGAGCTCTATAAGATATAGATAACCTTCATAGTTAATGTGAATATCATTGTGACTCAGGCAACCAGGGCTATGCTTTCAGAGCAGGTACTAATAGCCCTTGCTGTTAGAATCCCACATCATAATTGGCATTTATACTGATGACATATATTGTCGATTAAAATCCGATACCTGTGGATTACATTTTAGAACTGTTTTATAGGTGAGAGAAGGGGTGACTTCTAAGCTTAGTTATATAAAAGTTAAATTTCATTTTTCTGGAAAATTAAATAGAGCATTTCATTTCTTCTGAACACCAGAAGAAATGAAATGCTCTGTTTCTCTTTTTGTAATTGTATTTTTTGTGGTTTGGTAGAAGATATATACGTTTCTGCATGTACAAGATTTATGATCTAAACATATCACAACCACATATTTTTAGAGGTTGAAGAGAATATCCAGAACACCAGACACCATAGGGCAGTGGTCAGCAAACTGCGGCTCAAGAGCCACATGCGGCTCTTTGGCCCCTTGAGTTTTTAGCAAAGGCCAGCTTAGGAGTACCCTAATTAAGTTAATAACAATGTACCTACGTATATAGTTTAAGTTTTAAAAATTTGGCTCTGAGAAGGAATTTCAATCGTTGTACTGTTGATATTTGGCTCTGTTGACTAATGAGTTTGCCAACCACTGCCATAGAGGAAGGAACATCAGCTCTGTAATCAGTCTAATCTGAGTTCAAGTGCCAGCTCAGCTACTTACATGCTGGGATTCTAATTGCTTTAATCTCAACTTCAGTTCTCTCATTTGTATACTAAGGATACCTTGCAGTTTGGGTCAGAGTTCATATTAGTGAAGTGCCTAGTATATGTGAAAGATTTCATGATGCCAGCCTTCCAAGGAAATGACCCTAATGCAAAGGGGAAATGGTGTGTGTATATGTATACATGTGCGCACACACAAAATATTCAGCTTCAATATTTGTGATTTAAAATTTGTGAATTTTTTTAAGTAAATTCCCAAAATTGTGTCAAGGAAAAAAATGGGACCTTTTATTTTTACTAAAGAATCACCTCAATATGATACATTTTTCTTATTTTTCTAGCTTCATTTTAGGATCTTAGATTACACACTTACTGGGTGTTATGCGGATCAGCATTCAGTTCAAGTTTTTGCATCAGGAAAACCAAAAATAAGCACACGTAAGTTGTATAGATTCATACTAACTTGAGGGAATTAAAATGATGTTATATAGTTATTACCTAAGGTAAAATTAAAATGTATCTGAAAGAGATAAGGGAATAATCCCAATTTATAAAATTCTGGCCTGATCCTATTCTGTGAAAGAGTTTGTATACTTCATATTGTCCTCTGCCTTCTTCTGTTTATGAAATTATCTGGATGGGCAAGAATTGGTGTAGAGATGGACTTTAAAATTGGATTTATTTTGCTCTGTTTATAATACACACTTTTATTCAGGGGTTATTCACAGGGGCTTTGGTGTTGGACAGACAAGGGTTTAAGTCTAGCTCAGATAGTTTATCTGTAATTTTAGGCAAGTTAGTTAACTTCTCAAAGTTTTAGTTTCTGCATCTGTGAAATGGAAATAATAGTATTATTTACCCCAGGATTCTAAAGCAATTACTTGTTAAGGACAATAATAAATTCTGTGTAATTTAATTAGACTGTCATATTCTTTATCTACTTAAGGTTTTTCCTGTTTTCTCTGGTACCATTTTTTTGGGCTGTTTTTTAAAGAGATGACATATGTGGAATGGTCTTCATAATGCTTTTTGTGTGTGTGTGTGTGTGTGTGTGTGTGTGTGTGTGTGTGTGTGTGTAAAGGCATAGTATAGTTATGTCAGTTTGGACAAACCAGTGGTTTTGTCTAAATTCAAACATACCAATATTTTAGAATGTATCTATGGAATACTGAATGCAAAATGTTAATTTAAATAATAATAGCTAACCTGTATTGCTTACTGTATGCAAGGAACAGTTCTAAGTATTTTATGTGTTAACTCTTCCATTTTTATATAATCCTAATCAGGACCTTGGTAAAGAGGTTACAAAAGGGAAACCAATAAAATTTTTTCTACTGTTTTTGTACTTGAAGTAATGATCCATAGAAACAAAATTTAGGGGAAATGGGGTGGGGGGAAAGGGGGATAGCTGATTTAGCATTAATTTGACATAAATAAACTTAAACATGGATTATTTTAATGTTTTAGTGAAACCAAATTTTTGAAGTGGTAAGAGTTATAATAATGCCATGAAAAAGTATAATTAAAATGAATATTTCAAAGTATTGCCTTCCTTGAAATAATTGTATTCCACAACTTTAAAATACCTGTCTCTTACTGAATTTTTGTTAATATAATTTATCTCTTTTATTTTTCAGTCCGGAGACTAATTGCTTCTGACTATTACATCTGGAATTCTAAAGCTCCTGCTCCAGTGACATATGGGTCATTATTATTGTAATTATCTTGTGTTTAAATAAGGCTTGTACAATAGTAACATAGCCTAAATTAAATTATAATCTTATTTTTAATATGTATGCATATAACCTATGAATGAGAAAACATTAAATGATTTAATTATAAAAATGCTCTTGTTTGATGTTTTTTGTCTGACAAAAAAGTACTTTCAAGACTAATGTCTCCAATTTTGTTACCCTTTGATTTTTCTCAACTATGATTCAGAGCATAAACCAGTGTGATTCTAGTCCTGAGTTACCCTGTCACATGTTCCTTCCTGTGCCTGTGGCAGACATGACTAATCAATCGCAGCCCTTTTTCCCCACTGAGCTTCGTGGATACAGGCTCAGGTTCCTCTTCAGTTCAGACCTGCAGGCAGCCACTCTTGATGGATTGCTGCTCCAAACCTGAGTACCAAGCTTCTAATACATTGTGTTGTTACAGAATGCCAGAGACCACATTAGGAACAACTGTAAATCTCTTGAGAAAAAACACACACAAAGCATTCAATGAAAACAAAGCAAAATTCTTTAAACAATAAACTGTTCTTAACCAGAACTATCCAATTGACTTATAAAGAATCTGCATAATTCTAGTTAAGGTATTTATTTCTGTTCTAGAGTTACTTTTCAGTTAAGCTTATTGTCTGCCACAATAACAATTTGCTTTTGAGTGTCAGCAAGAGGGGTGGTATATCTTCAGAAGATGAGCATAATGTTTTGTGATCACTTAATGTGTACAGCCAAATTTTTAAAGATAAATTTAGGTATTATATTGCTTTTTTCATGTTTTATTAAGTTCATTAATGAATAAATTCAGGTCAAAATTAATATAGCATATTTTCTTTAAATTTGTCATTATCTCTTTCTTATTAGCATTATCTTAGTTTCCTCGGGAATCATTTAATCATACTCTTTAATCTTTACCTGTCTTGACAGTTATATGTCTCATTCTGTTTCAAAGTAGTTCATTGTCAAGTTGGACTTGAAGTGACCGTTCATGAAAAGATAAAATCTCAAGATCCTCAAATCCTAATCCATGTCAATTTTCTTTTCACGGAATAGAATTAGAAGTGTTATGAAAAAATATACATTACAGATTAGTATACAAATAAATTATATCTTAGTTTCTATTTTTTAATGAGTCTCTTAAGGAAAAGCTTAGAAAAAGGTGCTAACTCCTTGAAAGGGAATTAGGGTAGTTTGAAGGGATATTGCATATAAATTTAGGATTTGAAATGTGATTTTTTTCATTAAGGTCAATCCTACTCAATATAAACTCATATTTTCTGCAAGGCATTATCATGGCATAATGTTCTCTCTTCAAAATTATCCTTAGTAACACAGGAAATAGAATAACTATCTGATCAGGACTTTAACTTATTAGTCTAGCTTCATCATAGTAGTAAAAACCTTCCTTTAAAAAAAAAAAAATGACTCCCCTTTAGTTGTTTGATCCCTCTTTAACTCAAGGAAAGCTTATCATTTAACTTATGTTAATATTAAGGGAGCCACTGGGACATCTTGATTGAATAAACGTTTAGCAAAGTACACTAAGATAGACAAGAGGCATTTATCTGGTGAGTAGGCAGAGATTCAGTATAATAATTCCCTAGGGCAAACTCTATAAACAATCAGAAAAACCAGTGAATCTTCGATTTGACATTTCTAGAAACCTGAGGAAAATCTAGGGAGGACTGGAAAAGTGTGGGGCCGTGGACAACCTAAGGCCATCTGTTGCCATTCCATTCTAACATAATGCTACAAAACTAAAACCAACTCCCGTTGAGATCAGCTGGACACATTGTGATGCTTTTGATTTTGTCTAGAAACCTGTCACTTCGGGATAATTTCTGAGGACAAAGTCTGCTTCCCGTTTGGTAGGTGACCTGTTTAATGTTTTCCCTGTGTCTGGGAACTCCTTAGTGTAATTAGCGACCTTTGAACTCCACAACTAATCCTGAGCTATTTTGTATTCCTTACTCATCTTTAAGGCTGGATCTTTCTTTTCTTCAGACTCCGCTGCCACAATTAAAGAAGAAACAGCTGCATTTCAAAGGGATTCCGATCCAGAAGCTTAATCGTGATTGACATGTTCTTATTCTAAGCTATAAGACACTCTTAAGAGTCCTTTCTTGGGTTAAAACTTCAATCATTTTCTAAAAAATTATCTCACTATGGATTTTATTCATTTTCTTTGATAACTATTCTTTGCATTTTTTTTTTACTTGAAAGATGTTTTGTGTTTGGATGGTATCAAACCTACTCTAGATACAAAATTGCTAAATTCCTTTTTAGTGCAAAATATGATTATAAATCTGTTATCATATAGGTAATTATTCTTCAGTAGACCCAAACGGTACAAAAATTGTTAAATTTCTGAAAATGTGCTCCAGAAAAGCTGGTTCATGATTTTGGGGAAACCCTTCTTTTCTAAACAATATTTTTAAAACTTTTCTAAGACAGCAGTATCTTTACAGAGGTGGGCATTTTTTTAACTTTCTTACCGTAAAATAATTGATTTATTTAAATATCAGGTTTGAAGTAAATAGCCATGTCAGGAATTCTTAAGAGAATTATTTCTTTAAAAATGTTTTCTTGGTTAAACATTAGTCTGTCTTATAAAATGTAAGTGTTTTACACCAACTAAATATTTGAGTTGAAATTATTGTGATTTTATGTATTGTATAATTTAAGGACTCTCGAAACACAATTTTGTACATAGTAACAACAGCTAATATTCTCCTTTTTATTATAATATTTCAATTTTGTACTTAATAACAACAGCTAATATTCTCCTTTTTATTATAGTATTTCAAACCACTTTATAGCCATTCACAGACTCCTGTACCACCCCTGGGAGGGAGGAGGTGGAGTTTGCATCCAGAGCCTCTGCAGGGACCGCTTCCACAGCAGAACGGGTGTTTCTAAGACAAAGGTCAGGAAAGGGATGTTAATAAACAGTCCTCAGGTTTAAGGGACTTTTTTAGGATTACATCTTAAATTCCAACAAATCAGATTTAGGAGTTACTGAAAGTGAAATTGATCCATCCCTCATCCAAACTTTGCAATACTTTCCTGTTCTGACATCATTTAGATAGTTAGCTGTATTATCAGATTAGAAACCATTGTACCACGCTGCTGAAAGGAAAAGGAGGCAAAAAGCTAAACATAGGATAAATTCTGAACCTTTTAACCTGGCTGAAGTACGTTGGTCCCTGTTATGCAAATACCTTCAATCCTCTGCTAAGTTCAGTGGAAATAATTTTCTTGAATGACAGGTTTATTCAGCAAGGATTCAGTTGGTGATTAATCCCCCTTTGATCTAGGGTATTTCACTTAACTACCAGTTACCTCGTTCTGACAAAGTGCAACTGAGATTAGGGAGATCACTAGAACACTACCAGGGTGTGCGTTTATTCTCTCTAACCTTTTAAAGCAAGGGCCAAGCATGCAATTTATTTTCAGTATTTGAAGATGTAAAGTCCTGTCTGCTAAGTTAGAAAGTCAATTGAATACCAAATGAAGTTTATTTCTTACGTAATAGAACAAACATTTCTTTTTTGCTTTACCTAACAATGATTTTAGGAAACATAGGCTTTGAAAAAAGGAAGAAAGATTACATTTTAAGTATACCTTCAAGTTTTGTTTCATGTACTTGAGAATATACTCATTGACCCTGAGATAGCCCCCAAATCAAAGCAGTCGCTACAATTTAGGTTGAGAAATCCTTCAGTTTTATTAAATTGCATGGTTTCTTCCCAGCCTCCTCCCATTTAAAAAGGTCATGCTATGTGGTAAATCCAATTGCAGAAACATGTAATACATAAGTATTCATCTTAAGATTTTTGATTTCAATGCTTTATTTGTTAACTTTGTCCTTTCTTGAGGAAACAACTTATGTTCCCATCATAAGAATAATTGCGTTCACTTTCAGAATGAAGATTTTTGTTCATAAAGAAAGGTAAATGATGCCATTACAAGAATACTTTGAATTATTTTAAATTATCAAATTAACCATTTTCCACAACATTGTTTACTATTTTTCTACCTTCCTTTTCATTTAACTGTGTACCTCTTCTTCCATAACTTTAAGCCTTTGAAATATTCTTTGGAATCTTCCACAATATTTTAAGAATAAAATTTTAAGAAGTGTTTTGTGCTAGGGTTTCTCAAAAAATTTATCTTTAAAATCATTAAAATTTATCTTGCAAGATATCAAATGTGCAGATCTATTCCACATGTAGTTTGAGACCCTTAAAAAGGAAACAATTTTTAACAAAAATTTGTTTTTAAATACTAAGTTATTATTAGTGATAAATGTTATTATAGACAGAGCATTTTAAATGCTTATAATTGTTCATTATTCTAGCAGTTTGCAATACAAGTTATGTATTTATGTAATTATACATTATTTTGGTCCAAAGTCTCTGTGACCCAATTTCTAAATTGAAACAGTGACTCAAAAAAGTACCTCTAACTTCCCTGGGTATCAGTTTCAATTTAGTAACCAAACTTTTCAAATATCTTTTGATAGCCAGTTACTTAATCACAGAAATTGAGGATCAGAAAAAATATAAGATGAAAGGCAGGATCCCCAGGCTATCTTGCTAAGAAACTAGAATTTTTAATAATTCACTTTACAGTAAATATTTAGCTAATAAAATGTTGCAATATATTTTGAAATATGTATCAATCTATATAAACCATATGTACATGCATGTATATGTAGTGTATATAATACATATGTTAGTGTGTATGATTTGGTGGGTTTTCTTATGAAATATGTTAGTGTCATGTCAGGAAATAATCCAAATATCTTTCCTCCAAACACAGTGTTAGTTAATAGTAATGAAGAGGTTCATTAACATAAAAATTTCCAAAGAACTCATGAGATCACTCTTACAAATGATTAAAACTTTTATGAGCTTCAGCTAGCTTCTAATTTTTCCCTTCAACTAATTTATGGGTATGATAATATTGTCCATATATAGCCTGGAGCAGT